GTAAGTAGAATTGACTTCAGGAAAAGTAAAGCCAGTCACACTTAATCTTTATTAAAGTTTCAAAAATAATTTTAGCCTGTTAACCTCTTCCTGAGTCTTCCAAATTTCATTTGTGTTCATAAGTTGATGTCATAAAAGCATCAAAGGTCACGGACAAATAATCAGTTTGGAAAAAGATGTCAAATTCTGAGAGGCATGACTACATGTAGTTATGATGAAAGGGACAAATGAACACCCAATTATGTAGATATTTGTAACTTTAATAGAAATTTTAAAAGAACTCGAAACGAATCCCCATAAAAACGGCGACAGTGCAGATAAATTCCACACAATTGCACTTAAACTCAAATTGCTATAAGTCCTAAATTCAGGTCAGCTTAAACACTAGGCTTATAAAGAGCAAAATCGACTCGCACACTACCAATAAAGTTGGCGGAGCTTCCTAAATTACATTGGAAATTATACTAGACCAAGGATAAAAAAGAATAAAATAAGACAAGAAGCTAGACTATTGTTTGAAAAAATGAGTCTAAGAAATGTTACTATTGAAATGGAAAATCCGCATAAGCCTGGAGGAAAGAAGAAGCCTCTTCATCAGCTTGCCTACACACGAAAAATTGAACAAAATGGAGTGCTCCGGAGTTTACAGCATAAAGTGCAGGGACTTTAAAAGATAATTAAGAGACGGGAAGGACAATCAGCACAGGAATCAAACGACACCAGCGCCTATGCAGAAAGATCAGGGATAGCTGAACACATCACCCTTGCTGGCCATGCAATTGACTAGAGTGCAACGGAAAGAGTAGCCTAATATGGGGACATTATGCTTAAGAGAAACCTGATAAACAGGAGCTTGGAAGAGGGAGGAGTTAGCAGTGATTTCACGTACTGCCTCGGCAGACTTGGAGATTGAGCAAGGATAGCAAAAAGAAAGTGCTTGGATCAAAGACATAAATTTAATAAAAGGAAGAGATATCGACAAGGGGAGGAGCATGAGGGACAAAGGTAAGTCAAAAAAGCGATTTCAGTGAGATGAGTTAGACTTGGAATAAACCCAAAAATTTGCCGACATGGGTCAGCACCTGTGGAATGTGGATGAGGAATTTAAAGGCCAGTAACAGGCAGATTATGCTCCATTAAGAGTGCTAGGCTAAAGGATTCAGTGTAAAGTTCCCAGTATTCGTGTGTATCTGCTTGCGTGCATTTTTCGGGTGTGCCTTAATGAAAGGTGACTGACACGTCTGACCAAAAAGGGTGGGAATACCAACCAACGTACACGTGAGCAACTGACCCTATGATTAGTTAGGACTACGAATTTGAGAGACAAGTGTGCTTTACGAGATTCATGAGTGGAAAGGGGAAGCGGCAAGTTTTCACAAATGCGATTCCAAATTGAACCGGGCACAGAGCCCAAAGAATGAAATGCAATGTAAGTGGGGATGAGAAATAGGGTAAACGAGTGATAGGTCTTAAGCCCAGAAAAAGGAAGATGCTTAGGCATGTCCATGACTGGCTCTAAATCCTCGAATATGAAATAAACGAGGACGGGAAGTGAAGGCTCATAGGCAGACAGATGATTTTAATGTGTAGCAGCGATCAATTAATAAGCGGGTTGGAAGAGACACTGGATGAAGCCCTCCTAACGACATGTGGTAAGTAAAATTATAAATCACTAAACCCACTTATAGCTATACTTTCTTAGGCGATACTGGAAGAAACGAGAGTATGGAATTGTGCGAATAGGTAAATGGGCCATATGAAGTTGGGCTGAGAAAGAGATGCAGTACTAGATGGTTGGACAAAAAATTGGGACGAGGAGTAATGCCACAACAGATTAACAGAAAATTGGTCAAAGGGATTGCCTTCACTTGTCACTTTGATAGGTTATAACTCTGCCCTAACGATAGCTCCTCTCCCTGACTATGTGAACGAAACGTTCGGGAATGTACCAAGTCAATAGTCCGATATTGAAGAGCACAAATACTATGGCAGAGGATTTTGGACTAGGTCTACTTGATGCTCTGACAAAATTACGTAAGCAAGGCCAAACCAACACTGAGAAAACAAAGTTGTCGGATGATGAGGTTAAGCAAACAAACTAAAATCACGCAGAATAAGTAGCCTCA